AATTTTAAGAACATCCTGCCCATTTTTACAAAAGAAGACTGCTGCAATTTTAATAGGATTGAGTGGAACCTGTATATTGATTTGGGAAGTATCCCATCTATTTTTAACATATTTCACTTTTTAACTAGAAAACCCTCTTTTGACTCCACTCCTCCATTTCAGTCCTGCTGTTCTATCTCCCTACTCTTCATGACCAAACTTATTAAATGAATATCTAGGCTCTACTCCCTCCTCTTCGAGTCAGTCCACAATTTCTCATAGCCAAATGCCAGACCTGGGTTCCACATCAGTTTCATTGATTGTCACAACTGCCCACACTATCTATTATCTAAGTCCAAATCCTTCAAACCACCTTGGATATCGCTCTCATGCTCTAAAGTCAAGCCATCACCAAGAACTGTGAACTTATTTGCATAGCATGCCTAAGGATCACCTGCTTCTCTGAAGCTAGTTCAGGCAGGAAGCATCTTTCCCTTGAGCCACTACACATACTACTTCCTAGGACTTTGTTGTAGAAAGTAGGCTCCCAGACATTCTCCAGACCACATGTAGAGAGACACCCTTCTTCTTGTCTAAATATATTCTGAAGCATCGCCTTCCCCAATCAGAAGCTCAAAGACATTTTCATTACACTGATTATAAATCCCAAAGCCTGAATATAGCCTTTAAAGCCACGTGGCCGGTTGTGGCCCTATCTTATAGGCCTCTCAATGTTTCATGTGCATTTTAAGACTATTTTCAAGTTGTACATGCTAGCTGTGTAAATTTTAGAAAATATAAGAAAAATTATAAATAAAATGACAACAAGAAGGTTGAAGGTTTAAGTCAGTGGTAGAGATGCTTATGAGCAGCTATGAGATCCATGTTTCAAACTCTAGCTATAAATAAATCAATCAATCAGCAAATGATTATAACATGGATGAGCCTTTTAAAATTATGCTAAATGAATTAAGCCTGTCATAAGATACACATGCTTCATGATAGTACTTACTCAAGGTCCCTGGAGTAATGATACTTTTAAAGACAGAAAATAGAATAGGAGTTACTTACCAGGGACTAAGGTAAAAAATATAGGAGGTTGCTTAACAGGAAAAAGGTTTTAATTCTACAACATGTTAAAAGTGGTCTAGAGACTAATTGCATAAAAATGTGGATATAAGAATTAAAGAAGGCTGGAGAGATGGCTCAGTGGTTAAGAGCACTTGCTGCTCTTCCAGTTGACCTGAGTTCAGTTCCTATCCCTCATGGAAAGCAATTTACAACTGTCTCTAACTCCAAATCCAAAGGATCTGATATCATCAGACACCCACATGTCTATCACATATACACACAGACACACAGACATTCATATAAATAAAACTAACATCTAAAACCAAAAAGAACTGGAGAGATGGATAAGTGGACAAAGGATATAAGCATAAAACCTCAGTTCACACCTTCAGAACTCATGCAAAGCCATACATGGTAATGTGAGTATGTAAATCCCAGTGTTCCTCAGTGAGATGGGAGGCAGAGGAAGAAGAATTTCTGGTAGTTCAAGGAATAGCTTAGTATACAGAAAGGTGAACAGAAGAAAATCCTACTTCAAACAAGGTGGAAGGCAACACTAGAGGTTGTCCTCTGATTTCCACACACAAGCCATTGCATGTATGCACTTACACAAATGAACATACATACTCATGCATATAAACACATACACCACACAAAAAGATAAAAAACATTGCTGTGGGATGTCATTCTGTATGCTGTGAATATATGAGGCTCCCATTGGCTAATAAATAAAGCTGCATTGGCCTATGGCAGGGCAGGATGGAGCCAGGCAAGAAAACCCAATAGAGATAGTGGAAAGAGAAAGGAGAGTAAGGGGAGACATGAGCCAGCTGCCCAAGGAGCAACAAGATGCCAACAGACTCATAAAGCCATGGCCATGTGGCAAAATATAGATTAATACAAATGGGTTAATTTAAGATGAAAGAACTAGCTATCAAGAAGCCTGCCATAGGCCATACAGTTGGTAATTAATATAAACTTCTGGGCTATTAGTTTATAAATGGCTGTGGGACCTCAGGGCAAGGCAGGACACAGGAAAACTTCCAGCTACAAAACATAGGCAGTTGCATCACCCAAAAGCCTTCATAAGAATTATTTTCCTGAGTCTTGTGTGCTTTGTGAGCTTAAGCTTGCTATCTATATCTTATAAGTTTCATGACTTTCCTGAGCCTTATAAGTTTTATGACCTTCCTGAGCCTTTTAACTTTTGTTAGCTTCCTGAGAGTGGATGTTTGTTTCAATTAGAAAAGAGTGACTAAGCACCACTAACCTTAGAACAAGAGCAAAGATCAATTCTTGCAGAAACTTAGTGATTTTGGAGCTAACTGCTGATCAGAGAATGGAGCTCATGTAAGAAAAGGGAAGGAGTATATGCTCATCTGCCTCAAACTTCTGCTGCCATCCAAGAATTATTTGTGGTGGTCAGAGTGTAGACTGTCTGGGCAAGGATTGACTAGACAATAGGAATTCCATTTACTTAGCTACCCCTATTGAGGACCAAGTTCTTCCAGAAATCATTGTTACTGGTAGCAAAGTAGTGAACACCCAAGCTAGTCTCTCACACTGTCCAGACACTTTGATGTTTAATTTGTCCAACAGACAGTATTCATTATGGCCCTTTGAAAGCCATAATGAAATATCACCTTTTATCTCTAGATGGCTTCACATAGCTCACCTTATCAGTGCCAACAGAGCACAAATTTCTAGTATGGATCCATTAAAAAGCACTAACTATCCACTTGAAAATGGCTAAAGAGCCAGATGTGGTGAGTCACACCTCTAATTTCAGCACTTGGGATGCTAAGGCATGAGGATCACCATGAATTTTAGGCTAATCAGAGGTACACAGTAAGTTTCAGGGCAGCCTGGGCTACAGAATGAGTTCTTAACTCAAGAAAAAAATTAGAAAGGAAGACAAAGGGTGGAAATGAAATGATTAAAGACAGTAAGGTTAACCAGGTATGGTAGCTCCTGCCTTGTTGACATCAGGCTGTGCCCACTCTGAGTTACTCCACAGTAGTTTTTCAGGTTGTGCTCTGTCCTGAGAGATTCCATTATGAGGATGGAGGTTAATTATGCATCAGGGTGGGCAGGTCATGGATACCATCTGACTAGTACCACCCACACAGTATAGACTAATAAACGACTTATGACTGGGAATAGAATGAGATGTAACCCGATAAATTTACCAGGGTTCATTGCAACTATAGAGATACATTGACATAGCAAAATCATATCAGAGAAACCAGGCTTAGAACTTATCAGAGAAACTACACCAAGGATAGAGTACAAATTCCTCACCTGCATCCATGAAGAGGTAGGCACTTAGTAATCTGATGGCAACAGTCCCACTGACCACCTGATGTAGGTGTCAAGGAACTTGCATGCAGAGAATTCCTGATTGTGTCAGAGGCTTCAGCTCAGCTCAGTTGATATAGTCTTAACTTGCTTGCCTGCCCATCACCCTCCTGTTTTCCAATCTGGATCTGCTGTGGATTTGATACCCATTCATCCTGTGCTCTCATGAACTTCAGCTGAACCTCTGATCCAGAACCCACACCTTTGGACAGCAGCCAGGAGCCCCAGTGCCTATCCAAAAAGCTCTTAGCTAGTTCGTTATCCCACCCCCACAGAGACTATTTTGCATTTTTGTCAGTTTCCAAGCTATAGTTGCTCAGGCCTCTGAAACTCTGTCTCTTTGATCCTTACAATCATTGTGTGTGTGTGTGTGTGTGTGTGTGTGTGTGTGTGTGTGTGTGTGTGTAGAGACAGAGAGAGAGACACAGAGATCGTTAATGTGTGATTTGAAAGTTAATATTAGAAATTAAGATTGAAATAAAAGAACTCAATTTAATTTGCTTCAGCTAGGCCTATGAAGGAAAGTAGGAGAATCTGGCAAACTCTGCAATGAAACTGCCATATTTTATGAATTTATTATTGGTCAGTAAATTCTGACATTGTGGAAAGAAACAAATGCTTTCCTCTCTGTTTCTGGGGTAGCACACTTAGAACATGCCCACAATCCCAGCACTCAGGAGGCTAAAGCAAGAGGACTGGCACAAGTTGAAGGACAACTTAAGCTACATAGTAAATAGCAGACCAGTGTTACCTCCAGAGTAAGACTATCTCAAAGAAAGAAAGGGACTGGAGATGAGAAAAAGGTCAGATACAGTAAGCTTGTGTAGGCTATCCATTACACTCAATGGGCTGAAGCAGGAGGATTTGAGTTAGAATCTAACCTGGACTACATAGCTCAGATTCCTACACACACACACACACACACACACACACACACACACACACACACGCACGCACGCACGCACGCACGGGCACGGGCAGGGGCAGGGGTAGGGAGGACACAGCTTTTACACTAACCCATCCTCTAAGCTTCTGGCATGTGCTTTTGACGAAGTTCAATCATAGGAAGAGTTGAGGTTTTAGAAACTTTGTGTTTGTATGTGTTGACTCCAGAACTATTCAAATCTGTCCCTATGGTCTGTGTTCATCTCTCAGATACTGTGTTAAAGGTCACTACCTGCTAGCACTAAAAGATATATCCCCACCATAACCCCCAGTTCTTCAATTTCTTTCTCAATTCAACTTCAGCTTTTGTCCTTGAACTTATTCATAGTTATCATACTGCCAGGAAGTGGCTTGCTCAAATCCCCTTGCCAGGACATTCATTGACAGACTGGGGCTTCTGTTGCACCCACTCAAATTCAATATTTGTGTACATAGTGAGAGGGTGAAGACCTTACAGCCTTGGGTGCTGGTGTTGCATTCTACAAAGTGATTAAAGCAGTCTGAGGACCAGAATTAATGACAGAATGAGCCAGTCCTTGGGTAAAATATATGCTCCACTTTAACCTTCTCCTGAGACTGGTGTGTCATCCAGCCAGCTGTCAGCCTGGCTGCTCTCATAATACAAATACTTAGAAAGAGAAAGATACCGTGGTTTCTGTTTCTGCAGAAAACAGGAGATTTCTGTCTTGGGCTACATGGCAATTTCAAGGAATAGTACCAGGTCCATATCTGTTTGACTTTGCCATCTAAATCAGCCAGTTCTGTAAGGGAAACAAATCAAATAAATGCACCTAGCCTTTCCCCTTGTTACTATTTTGTACTTGGTTTTCAACATACAACACGAACCCTTGGATTGTATGGTGAAACTAATTATATACATATTTTGAAAGTACAATGCAAGAAAAAAACCACTAAAAATGGTGGATCTGGATTGTGGATCATGCTTAATCAGTTGTTTGTGGAGGAAAGGAAAAGAGCCCAAAGAAAGTTTCCTTAGGCTGTAGATGTAGCTCAGTTGATAGAATGCTTGTCTAGTTTGCGCAAAGACCTGGGTTTGAACCATAATATAGCATACAGCTGTTTTAGTTGTTAGGATGTTAGTGCACATCTATAATCTCAGCCCTTCAGAGGTGGAGAAATCCTTTAGGAGTTGGCTAGGTCATCTTTGGTTACATAGTGAGACTGAGGCTACTCTGAGGTACACAAGAATTTGTCTAAAAAAGAGAGAGAGAGAGATCTGTTTGTTTTGTCTTAAAGTAGAATTGTAGAATTCTGTCAACTTCCTAAGCCTCTTTTAAGCTCAACTCTGTCCCTTGAGACAAGAACCAAGCCAGACTGAAATAATAGGCAACTCACCATTAAGGCCAGCTCAGCAACTAAGCATAGTATGCTTATCTCCAAACACACAGGGTTCAGATGCCTAGACAGAGAGCTTACATTTTCTATTCTCCAACTAGCATATTCATTAAAATAATTCAGAAATCCACATAGACACAAAATCACTGGAGCAAACACTACTCACACTGTGATCTCATGGTTCTGGAAGCCACAAGTCTGAAGTGAGCTAAAATCCAGGTACCAGCAAGTCACATACAATCTTCCTGGGGGCTCCTCTGAAGAACAGTCTGTTTTCTTGTCTCTTCCAGGTTCTGAAGGCTACCTGCATCCCTTGGCTTATGGTCTTTTATCCTCAACGTGCATCACTCTGCCTTATGCTCCTATCATTGCATGCCTTTGCAGACTGATCATCCCCTAGTGATGTCACTGGCACGCCTGGATAATTCAGAATCTTCTCAAGACTTATAAATTAAGTTTGTCTGAAAGATCCTTTAGCCATCAAAGTAACAGACTCCAGGTTGCAGAAATTTATATGTGGTCATCCTGGCTGGGGAAGAGAAACATTATTCTGCTGACTGCAACAATCACTAAGCACCAGCTACTTTCCCATTTCAACTATTTAACTATTCCCTTCTGCTTGTATGAAAGCGCTCCTCACATCATTTTCTCTAGAATTAATAGCCTCCTTTGGGTGGTGGGGAAGGCGTCTGTCAGTGAGGTAAGCTTTTACTTTAAGGAGCCAAATCTGCACACTGAGTCAAGGAAGCATATTTGACAAAACTGATACTTTTCCAAGAATCCCTCTATTGTGTGAAGATTTGTTTGTGGGAGGCCAGTTGGAGAGCTATGGCTATTAGCCAAACCTGTGAGCACTGTATCTCAGTATGGGATTATAGGATTCTAGCTTGCCAAAAGACTTGTGTAATTAATTTAGTCACTAGTCCTCAGAGGGCTCTTCCTCCACTCAGGGCTCCCATGAGTCTCTCTACCTAAAAACTCTTCTCATATCTTCCCATCAAAAGACTTGGCTATAGTACCTCAGACTAATTCTTTTTTTGATGACATTTATTAAAAGAATGAAACCCAGGGATTGAGAGCTGGTTTAGTTAGTAGTTAAGAGGACCTGCTGCACTTCTAGAGGACCTAGAGTTCAATTCCCAGCACCCTGATGGTGACTCACAACCATCTGTTCAGTTCCAGGGGATCTGACACCCTCTTTTGGCCTCTATGGGCACAAAGTATGAACATGATACAGAGACATACATGCACACACACACAAAAAAAAAATGTTCATACAGGTAAAGTAGAAGTTTTTAAAACATAAAATTTAGTGCTTTCTACTATATCACAGATATTACTTTCAACTGACCCAAAAGGAAATCTTTTTTTTTTTTTTTGTGATATATATTTTTTATTTTACAATACCATTCAGTTCTACATATCAGCCATGGGTTCCCCTATTCTCCCCCCTCCCACGCCCTCCCCTTACCCCCAGCCCACCCTCCATTCCCATCTCCTCCAGGACAAGTCCTCCCCCGAGG